TCCACCCGATCCGCCATCTTGTTTGTTCCTGGGTTGTTTTGTTTTTAAACTCTGTTTCCCACGCCACACCCCTCATTCTGGCCTTTTCCCTATTATAAAACAGTTCAGGGCCGGCTCTTGGGCTGCTGGTCTCTTTAAATGCTGAGAGTATTTGTGCGCATGCGTGGCAGAAGAACCCACCAGTGGTGGCGGTGGGGGTGTCCACTCACTCAGGCATCCCCTCTAGTCACCAGAATGGAGCTGCGCAAACAGTGGGGCCAATGAACAGATGCCGGAAAAAAAAAATCAGAACAAAACAAAACTGAAAAAGGGTATTTTCCACATTTGCGCCAAGGCTCCAGTAGTGGTATTCCATGGTGGTTCTACTTCCCCCCCCTTGGTCTTGCCATTTGGTCTCACCCAAGTTGTCGGCTCCAGGCAGCTCCAGGGCACCGAGCCCGGCCGATTCAAAAGTACACAATTTCTTATGTCCGCTACAAGTTCCATTAGCTATAAGCCCTCAAACCTTTTAAATATTCCCACCTTTGTGGTTCAGAGTTTTGGAGCTCTGCCCTGAACCCGCTTCATTTGGTGTTCTGTGGTATTTCTGACGGAGAACTTCTCTGCACCTCTACCCTATCCACCATCAAGCTCCGCCCTTCATCGAGAACCATTTTCCCTGTGAGGTAGGTAATACAAGTAGTATTTCTGTTTTATAAATATTGCAAAAATTCAAGGAGGCCAGCACAAAACTCAAACTTCTTGGTTCTTCCCACCCTGATTGTGCTTCCCTTGTGCTACTAGGTCATAGAGCCCTGCTAGTACAATGTACTTATTTACTAACTCCAAAGGTTGGCAGTTTAAACCCACCCAGTGGCTCTGTAGAATCAAGACCTGGTGATCTTCTGTGAAGATTAAACCCCAATAACCAAACTCACTGCCATTGAGTCAATACCAACTCACAGCAACCCTATAGGACAGCATAGAACTGTTCCTATGGTTTCCGAGACTGTAAGTCTTCATGGGAGCAGACTGTCTCATCTTTCTCCCATGGACTGGCTAGTGGGTTTGAACCACTGACCTTGTGGCTAGCAAGCTGATGCCTAACCCACAGCTCCACCAGGGCTCCTTTCTCTTAAAATTACAGTTGAAAAAACCCTATGGGGCAGTTTTACTCTGTCACATAGGGTCACTATGAGTTGGAATCGACTCCATGTCATTGAACAACAGTCCTACTAGGTCTGACCCCTGGAGATCCTCTGGAATCAGTAGCTGCATCAAATGTTAAGGTAACAACACAAAGCAGTTTGAATAGTAATGGCTGTTTCTGACCTTAAAAAAATACTGTAATTTTATTTTGGTGCACACCCAATGTTCTGTGTTAGACATAATATTCTTTGTGTTTTGTTTTATTGGGTTTTTAAAAAAAAAAAAAGGATAGCATTTTCCTTTCTGTTCGTACATAAGAATTTGTGCTTCTGACTGGGGCAGGATAATAGAGGATGGCAGAATATTAAGAAGTTAATATCTCAAGTGTTCCCCCTTTGGTAAGCTATTCTTTGAAAGAAATGGGAGTGAAAGCCCAAATGAGTGGGGAAATCATTCTTGGGCTGAGAGTCCTCCTGAGTTAGCCAGGCTACAGAAAACCTGGCTTTGTATCCCCTAGGTCACTCTGCCTCCCTCAATTGCATGCCAAGTGCCTAGAAGGAACTAGCCAAGGTGTACCCACAATGTTAACACAAACCTATAGAATGATGGCAGAGGTTACAATGACATTTATGAATTCAGTAAGGAAACCAGGACAGGAAAGATCTTATAACAACTCACACAGGAAGCTTGTTGCAAGTCTCAAGTTTTTTTTTATTTTCAGAACAGAGTCTGGTTTTATTTTTAAAAAGAGGAAAGAAAGAAGAAAAAAAAAAGCTGTAATAGATGCTAGTGAGGTGCCACTTCCCCCTCCTTTCAGGCTCTGGCTGCCAGCAAGTGCTTTTCCATAGTAACAGAACCATGGGCATATTAAAATGATATGAGCCCTGAGAGAGAGAGAGGGTCTAGCCCAACTTCAAGGACTTGGAGGCTCAGCTGTGGGGACTGTCTGACTGCTCAAATGCTAGAATCAGGGAGGACTAGAATCTCAGCCCAGTGTTCTCTTCAGTGAACCATTGGCTGGTGTAAACCGTAAGTGAGAGGGCACCATCTTTATTAGACCCAAGGGCACCCAACACTGATCTCAGGTCTGACCCCTGCATCACAGATGCCCTTAAAAGCAAGACAAAGAAAGTTTTAGGGATCATTTCTTGTTGTGAAAGGGCTAAGGGAGGCAAGTGAAAAGGATCCCAAAGACACATACCAGAAGGAAGGGACCCAAGCTCCACCCCAAGCACAAAGTGATTGCACCAAATATTTTAAAGAGAATGCTCAACGGTGAGTTGGGGCCATTAGAGAGTATCTCAATAGGCCTGGCATTGGCCCACTTGCCATTGGTCTCTTGATGTATTCAGGAAAGTGACCATTCGCTAGAATCTATCACAGCCTCCCACCAGACAACTCAGAGATTGTATCGTCAGTCACTCAGCAGGGAGACCACCATCTAAACAATAGAAAGAGGGTGGGTCAGGGGCCAGCCAAGGGCTGGCCATGGCTCAGATACAATGTCCTTTGACAGTCACTGAGATTAGGTAGCAGAGAAACAGAGCAAAGCTGGATAGAGGATATGGGAACAGAGGGAACAGCTACTGGGGTCCACCCAAGGCCTCGGCCCCAGAACCTTGAACACATGGAATTCAAAGGAAGAGAAGAAGAGTTCATATTGGGGTAAGAAGAAAAAAACTGGCTGCAAAATCCAGCCACCTAATATTGGACCTAGTATGGTGAGGAGCTGGGAGGTCAGATAATGCATTGAGTGTAAACATTTTCCTCTTTTGTCTTCCCCTCTGAAACTAAGGGGAGACTCAAGAAAATACAAGTAAAGTCAGTGGCCCTTCTTGTGTCTCTGTCTATGTGGATCTCTTCTGCCAGGAAGCCTCCAGGAAGTTGGAGAAAGAGCCCCAATTGGTCCTTTGTTCTTAGACAGTCGCAGTTGGACTAAGACAAAATGGCACCCTTGGCCTGGGCACTGAGTTAGTGGTCAGTGAATTGGCATCTTTGACACCTCCCTGTGATACGGACTTTGAGACGACCCGAGATAGTTCAGTTATGACAGACCCTGCAATTCCACCCCAACCCCTCCCTTCTTCTCTCCTAGCCAAAGTAACAGCAGGAAATGTTCCACAAGTGCACCCTGACTGGTTCCTCTCATCTCCATATTTACAGAGAGCATGGCTAGGGCTTTAAAGACACTTAAACTCAAAGAATGCTAGAGTTGGAAAGGAACTTAGAGATCACTCATCCTACCTCCTCATTTTTAAAGGTGAGGACTTTTGGCCCCAGAGAGTAAAAGTGATGAGTCACTTACAGCTAGTGAGTGAAAGTCAGAACCAGAGTTGTGTCTTCTGGTACCTTGTCCAAGATTTATTACACCACATTCAACTTTCCAAATGTAAGAAAGGAGAATGGGAAATAAAAACTCTTCATGTTTTGCCTCCATCCTATCCTGTGGAATGGTGGAAAATGGTGAATATTCCTTGACCATGCTTCTTCTGGTCCTGCATCCTTATATCGCCTTTAAAAACTAAAAAAACCCTGCATGTTCTGCCTCAAAGATTCCAAAGAAAGGTGACAGTTCACATCAAGACTACAAGTGGTCAATCCCTGGATGCCTCTTGTCATCAACCTCAACAAGAGGAACACTATGGAGGAAGGCCGGGACTAACAGCACTGTCACCCACCTTACTCCATGCAGTTTGATTTTTCTGATCTACATCAAATGTCCTAGAAGAAGGAAAAATGGTGGATTAAGTTTCTTCCTCCTTTGTTTATGAAAGATCCAACTTCACATCTATCCAGGAACCCCACTGAAGCTGATACTCTGAGCCAAGATCTGACCCAACCAGCACCAAACCAGAGGAAGGATAAAAGGCCTGGGTGCAGAGAGAGGGGCAGAGGGAAGGAAGACCAATGGCTGATACTCCACAGACCCTGTAATAATACTGGCACCAAACCCCAACTGGATCCAGTGGCCACAGTGAATGCAACTTCTGAGTATTTGTGGATTTTTTGTTTTTGTTTTTTGCAAGCAGCATCAGTACATGATGCAACAAAAGTTGAAAGCACAGAGGTAGAAATGCTCACTCACCCAAGAAAGGGTGCAGTTTGGTCCTTACAAGTATGGACCCCTCCTCTTCTGGAGCTGAGAAGAAAGGAGCAGAATTGAGGAAGCGCTTAGGTGAGTGTCTCTCTCTTGGAGGAGACCAACGGGGCAGCTCCCAGGAGCCCAGATCTTTCAAGGAATTCATGGCCACAAATTAAGATAAGAAAGAGGAGGGTGGTGGTATGTGTAGTGGGGAGGGCAGGCCTCCTAACCATTGCAAGGGGCCATGGAGTGGACACAAGAAAACAACACTATACACACACATACACACACAGGTACATATACACTGCGTCTACCCTTAGGAAGATACCCAATAGACACATCAGGGGAACAGTGAATTATGGGTTAGTTTCAAAGTGTGGGGCAATAGCCACTAGAAACCTAGAAGAAGCTAATACTTCCAAGCAAGGAGGAAGGTCCAATGCCCAGCACCCCTGCCTAGGTACTCCCTTCCTCCATTCTCCCTCACGATGGATGGGAATTAGGGTGGAAGTGAGAAAAGCAAGAAGCAGAACTATCCAGCCCCTTGGCGGATGGGATAAGGGTAGGGTATGGAGAAGAGAGAATAGGACAAGTGGATCTCCCTCCCTCACCATTAGCTGCTGGTCTCCCTCCAAACAGTCTTGACTCAAGGGTTGCAGAACACACTGGTCCTTAGCCCTATCAACATTTATCTCTTCCAAATGAGTCTGACCAAATCCCGGTGAGAAAATCAAAGACTAGGGAGCTGTAGGCGCTCAACTCAAAAGCAAGGCCTCTGCCTTTATCCCCTTCAATTCTGGAAGGCCACAGCCAGGGTATTTACATAGCCATGGGCACCCCTTCATTCTCTGAGATGCAGTGGCCCAGTTGGGAGCCTCCCTGAGGTGGTGGTGGTGGTGGTGGTGGTGGTGCCTGCGGTGGGGCAGAGGGTGGAGCGCCATAGCTTCCCCTGGCCCGACTTGGGGAAGCCCTACTGCCCTGGTCCCAGCAGCCTTCCAGTGCCTCTAGGCCTCTACAGCCGAGGAAGAAGAGGTTCTTGAGCATGAAGACGGAAAGCGGTTGTTGGTAGCTCACCACTAGGAGGCAGCGCAGCGCCAGCAAGGGCACGTCCACAAGGCAGCCACCTAGCAAGCGCAGGAGGCGGCTGCAACTCCCCGGCCCTGAGGCCTGGCCCCAGGACGAAGCGACCATGGCTGTTGCATTGAGCTCGTAGAGCCAGAGCACCGGTGAGGCGAGGGTGAGGAAGTAGACGGCGATGAGCAGGTATCGCAAGTGCGCGGGCAGCGGGACACGGCCTTCCAACATCAACTCCACTAGAGTGAAGCTGTCAAGCAGATCCAGACATGTGCCCAGGAAGCAGCCGGCGGCTCGATGCTGCTGAGGCTGCAGAAGCAGGGGTCCCGCCGAGCCAGGAGGGGCGCCCGCCTCGCTGATGGCCCGCACCAGGCTGTAGAGCAAGGGCACCGACAGCGCCATAGTGAGACGGAAGCCCGTGGTGCCGAAGGGTGCACGCAGCTCAATGAGGTCTAGGATGGACGTACCCAGGATGAGCACCACCTTGGGCGTGAAGGCGATAGAGTAGATGAGCCACGCTAAGTAGGCGAAGGCGAACTCTCCCGCCGTTCCGGCCGCTCCCAGATTGCCTCCTGGGCCGCCCGCACCCCCACGGCCTCCGCGAACCTTGGCCCCGGCTGCGGCCCCAGCAGAGGCGGCCGAGGAGGCGGGCAGGTGCAGAGGAGGCGCGGCATGGTGGTGGTGCTGGTGGTGATTGTGCGCGACGCTCGCCAGGCCGCCCCGACGACCCCGGCTGTTCTTGGTGAAGAAAATGGCCCAGCCCACTACCACCACCAAATCAGTAGCGATCCAGGAGCACCAGTACAGGTCAGTGACAGCGATGAGATACAGGTCCAGCAGACCGCCTTGTGCCAGCAGCAGCACCACGGACAGCGCCTGGTAACCCCAGCGGCACCCGGGGCTAGGGGCACAGCCGCGGCGCCTACTCCTGCGGCCGGATCGGGCCGGGCGGCCGCAGCAACAACAACACGAACAGCAGGAGGCGCCGCTGCCAGTCCCGGTGCCTCCCGCTCCCCCAGCCGAACGACCCCCGGGGCCCCCGACGGCCCCGGCCGCAGCGCCCCCGCCGAAGTCCGCAGCTGTCATGCTGCAGGATGAGGTGGGCGTGGAAGTGGAGGACGAGCTGGCAGAGGAGGAGAAGGCGGTGGTCGCGGGGTCGGTGACTGGGGCGCCCCCCTGCACCTGGGGCCCCAGAAGCCCGGCAGTGGCGGCGGGTACCAGCGGCTTGCTGATGCTGATGCTCTCGTCGTCGTCCTCTCGCTCGGCACCCGTGCTGCTGCTTGGGGAGCCGCCGCCCCCGCCGCGTCTGCCGCCGCCTCCCCCCCTGCTGGTGCTGGTGCTGGTACTGCTGTCGCCCGAGCCTCTCCGGCCGCGGGAGGAGCCCCCCCGGAGGAAGAGGGGCTGCAGCCGGGCGGCTGCTGGAGGCGGCGGGAAGGAGCCGGACAAGGACGAGACCGAGCGGGGGTTGCCGAGCGCTGGGTGCATTGTCTTCCAGGGGCTTCGGGGGTTGCCCAGCTCCTCCCTGCCCGCCAAACCAGTGCTGGCAAGGCGGCCCAGGGGAGCTGGGGCCAGCCGCCGCCGCCGCCTCCTCCTCAGTGCCTGGGACTCGTACCCGGGTCGGACAGCAGCGAGATCCGGACTGGAGCTACTGGACTGGGCGAGCCAAGCCCCGGGTGGCAGCGAGCGGAGGAAAGAGCGGTGCTGAACGGACCTCGGTGACGGCGGGCAGGGCGGCGGGGGCGGGGAACGAGCCCAGGCGTGGAGGAATGGGAGGCTGGCGGCGGAGAAACCAGGACTGGATTTGGGGGGTGGGGGGGTGGAAGACCAGAGAAGGAGAAAGCCTGGCTCCCTGGATCAGCAGGAAGACAAAGGGAGTAGGCGTGGGGAGCCGTGTGCGCCTGGAGGATGAGTGGAGGAGGAGGCAGCCGTCAGAATGAGCAGGGACACAGTAGGGGAGGCGATGGGAAGAGCTACACTGAACACAGGATTCCCAGAGAAGTCTCTCTGAGGTCCCACCAGTTTGGTTTCAAAGCAGACCAGCCCTGCTAAGCACCAGGTTCGGGAGACTGCTTCAGGTCTCTGCACCGGTTCAGCCACTGCATCTTTTACAAACAGGAGGGCAGCTTTGGCTTCTACCCTGTTTAGTGTTCTTTCCACTGGGCCATCTGCCTGTCCTTAAGGCACTTAAAAACAAGGGGCCAGGCCATGGTGATAAAAAAGGACCACCCACAGCAGCCCCAGACACATATTTGTAAACATTCATGTGCCCAGCAAGCACTGTTTCAGTGAGCCACACTTAAGGAGCTCCCAATTTCCAGTGGACAGAGCTATACCTTGAATATCACTGCTTGGGAAGAAAGAACAGGTAAAAGATGTGTTCCAGTGGCCCCAGCCAAGTGGAGCTTTTAGTATTCCCAGAGATTTCTAAAATGGGAACTAGAAATAAGGGGAAGGTGTATCTAGCAGAGAGGGAAATAAAGGGACATTTAGAGGCATGACACCTTGAGAAAATCAAAGGCCTCAAGGGGGTGGTGGTGAATGTGTGAACCTATAGTGGTGGACAGAAGGCAGAGTCAGATGAATGGTGTCAGTGGGTCTGCACCAACCACCTCATGCTGACTCACCCCATGGTCTTAGTCCATTTCTAGGCCTGGATATCTGAGCAGCAGCTCAGAAAAGCAGCAGGTAGAAGTCATGGCTTTAGGCAAGAAGGAAATAAGTAGAGCAATTGGAGCTCAAAACATATCTGAGACTGGTTATAGAGTACAGACATCCCATTCTCAACCTTATCAAAGCAAAGCCAAATGCTTGCTTGTTCCTTCCTCCTCCATATACTTCAGGTCACATGTTCTGTGCCTTGATTGCCTTACTTTTAACACTGCTGATGCCTTGCTGGTGCTCATTTTCCTCTATAGAACCACGCACCATGCAGCATGAGGGAGGGGATGCAGCGTGACCACAGTGGTTAGTTGGCCCAGCTCTTGGCCCTCCCTGAGTGTGACTCTAAATCTACCTCTTGCATAAGAGCTGGACCTGCCTTTGGGAGGTCAAGCTGTACAACCAATGCACAACAGGCAAGGGATCTCGAACTTACTACTTAAGTACTTCCACATCCCCCTGGCACACATAAACTTTAATAAATTCCGTGTTCTCTCATCGTGCAAGACAGAACAGGTATGGTAGTGAGAACATTCCGTTTTGGGTTAGAGTTTCCAGATCTCCCACTTAACAGCTGTGTGTCTTCTTGAACTAGTTATTTCACCTTTCTGAGTCTCAAGTTACTAAAATAAAAAAGGGACAGTACTAAAGAAGACCTAAGTAAATACATCTTTATGGATTGGAAGACACAGTATTATGAAGATGTCAGTAATACCTAAAGTAATCTATGGATTCAATACAATCTCTGTCAAAATTCCAACAGCCTTTTTTTTTGCAGAAATGGGAAAGCCAATCCTCAAATTCACATGGACTTGCAAGGGCCCCCAAATAGCCAAAACAATCTTGAAAAAGAAAAACAAACTAGGAGGGCTCATACTTCCTGATTTCAAAACATACTACAAAGCTACAAATACCAAAACAGTGGGGCACCAGTAGGTATAAGGAAAGATGTATGTTGTTGTTAAGTTGTTAAGTGCCATCGAGTCTCTTTCAACTCATAGCAACCCTGTATAGGGTTTCTGAGGAGTGGCTGATGAGTTTGAACCACTGACCTTGCAGTTCAAATTGACCTTGCAGTCCAGTGCATTATCCTGCCAATGAAATAAAATTGAAAGTCCGGAAATAAACCCAAATATATGCACCCAATTGATTTTCAACAAAGGTGCCATGACCATTACATAGGGAAAGAATAGCCTCTTCAAAAATTGATGTTGGGATAACTGGATTTTCACATGGAAAACAATGACGTTGGACCTGTACCTCACATCATATGCAAGCATTAACTCAAAATAGATCAACAACCTAAATATAAGAATTAAAACAATAAAACTCTTAAAGGAAAAATATGGTATATCCTTGTTTAAAGTGATGAATTCTTAGATATGGCACCAAAAGCACATGCAACAACAACAACAAAAAAAAAACTAGATAACTTGAACTCCACCAAATTTTAAACTTTGTACACCAAAGGGCATTAATAGGCAAGTAAAAAGGCAGACTACAGGATAGGAGAAAATACTTGTAAATCATATCTCTGACAAGGACCTAACTTCCAAAAAATATAAGAAACTCTTATAACTCAATAACAGAGAAGACAAAGAATCTAATTAAAGAGTGGACTTTTCTCCAAAGAAGATATATATCTGACACTCAGAATAATGAGTTTTTAGGGAAATGCAAATGAAAACTACAATGAGATACTATTTTACGCTTCACACCTGTTAGGATGGATGTAACTAAAATAACAGCAAAAAAAACCAAGTGTTGGTGAGGATGTGGAGAAATTGGAACCTTCATATATTGCTGGTGGGAATGTAAAATGGAGCAGCAGCTGTGGAGAATTTTCTGGCAGTTCCTCAAAAAGTCAAATATAGAATTCAGGGCAAGATGGCGGAGCAAATCGATGCATTGAGCCAACTCTCTACAGCAAAGACATAAGGAAATCAAGTGAAACAGAGACAGTGGTCCTGGAACCCTGAGAATCAAAGGCTAGGACAAACAGGTGGATTGAGTACAGACTGGAAGAGGAAGCTGAACTGGAGCAGTGAGAGAGAAGATAGGCCAACTGTGGGCTGGTGTGGAGTATGTGGACATCTTGAGTCTTTTCAAGCGACTGTCTGAGACTAAACTCTGATTTCTCAGAAGAAATCATGCAGGCAAAAAGACAACAGAATGACACATATAAAACTCTGAATGAAAAAAAAATAAAATGCCAATCAAGAATCATACATCCAGCAAAACCGTCTATCAAATATGATGGCAAAATTAGGTCATTTTCACACAAACAGAAAATGAAAGAATTTGTGAAAACCAGACCACCCTTACAAAAAATACTAAAGGGAGTTCTTTGGACAGAGAACCGACAACAGCAAATGACAACCTGAAACTAACAAGTATGACATTATCACTCAGACTCAACCCAGATATAGAAGTATGTAAAGTAAAACAGATCTATAAGACCGAAAATAGACAATCAGAGATATAGCTGCAACAACAAAAACCCATAAAGTTAAAAGAGGGAATAATCTAGTTTCAGAATTTCTAAATTTTGTTAATTGCTGTTGACTCGGTTCCGACCCATAGTGACCCTGTATAGGGTTTCCAAGGAGTGGCTAGTGAGCTTGTATCGCTGACCCATTGTGGTTCAAACTAAATTTGCAGTTCAGCACATTAACCCACAGTGCCACACCAGGACTCCAATACTAACCCTAGGCCTAACCATAATCCTAACAACAAAAGAAGTCCTTAAGCACTGGGCTGCAAGGTCAATTTGAACTACCAGGTCAGTGGTTCAAACCCACCAGCCACTCCTTGGAAATCCTATACAGCATCACTATGAATAGGAACTGACTCAATGACACTTAACAACAGCAACAACAAGGCCTAGCCAAGACCCAGTCATAGTCCCAACCCTAACCCTCGCTCCTTACTCTTACCCACCACCATGCCCAAATGAAACATAATTAAATAGCAAGTAATTCCACTCCTGGGTAGTAATAAATGAGGGGACTTCAAAAAGTTTTAAAATTCCATAATCTTTTCATTTCATTTTCCCCACAGTATTCTGAAGCACACTTATGTTTAACAAATTTAACAAATAAATGGATAAACAAATTGTTTGTGGAAAAAAGGAATGAAAAGATACTGAAAATTTTCCAAACTTTTTGAAGCCCCCTGCTACATACAATGGAATATTATTCAGTCATTAAAATGAACAAAAGTCTGATATATAACATATATGATGCATGTTACTAGAGGTTCATGAACCTTAATAAACATTATGCTAAGTGAAATGAATCAGACACAAATGCATAAATATTGTATAATTCCACTTCTGAAATATCTAGAATAGGCATATAATATAGGTTACCAGATGCTGGAGGAGGAAGGAGTGGGAAGTTACTACTAAATTGTTACAGAGTTGTTGGTTTTTTGTTTTTGTTTTTTTGAGTTGATGAAAAGTTTTGGAAATAATGGTAAAGGTTGCACAAAACTATGAATATAGTTAATTTCACTGACATATATATGTGAAAATGGTTAAAATGGCAAGTTATATTTTATATATATTTTAGCACAATAAAAAATTTTTTTTTTTAAGGAGCCAAGACCTACCTTAATATATTATTGTGGGTATTTAGAAAACTCTGGTTTGCATATGGTTTAGTGCAGTGCTTGGCTCAGTGAGTGGGTACTCAGTTAAAGGTGGTTGGTTGGTGGTTGTGTGCCATGGAGTTGGTTCCGACTCATAGCGACCCTGTACAGGGTTTCCAAGGCTGTAAATCTTTATGAGAGCAGAAAGCCTCATCTTTCCCCTACAGAACTGCTGG